ACTAGGAGCGATATAAACTACGACGAAGTAAGAGTAGGGCACCTATTTCGGTCGTCTAAAGACAGGCGGAGTCTTTGCTTTCGGCCACGTGTAAGGTGTAGGTTTGTGCACGCTGAGAAAAGGCTTCTGAAATTAGTAGCCGAGTACCGACAGTAAAGCATCTCGCCAGTTTATAGTGCGGTTCGTGTGAGCGTGAAAGGAAATCAACGCCGACGACAGGTCTCGCCAACGTTCACTTAGTAGCATGTAAGCAGCCCCTTCTGACAGACGCTCACAAGTTTGGTGACCTCAACTTGAAACACACGAATCGAAAGAAAGCACTGTTCTGCCGCGTTTAGGAGCGTAGTCGGCATCAACGTTCTGTACGCATTGCGTTTCGTGTGGGATCTAAGTCTTCAGTGGTTATAGACGGAATCCTGTAGCTTACCTAGAGGACAGCTGGCTTTACATCTCTAAGCGTCAGGTAGTCGTTGCTTTTGGTGTTGAGTTAGTGCTGCCTAGGCAGGCGAACTTGTCCACGGATGTGAATCATGCTCCATTCAGGTTGATACTGGAAGCAGCGTGCTCTTTCTCTGGTGCCGCTTGGTGCATAGTCATCGCCTAATCTGTGTTGATGGTCGACCCCAATTATGTGCAGCAACACACAAATGTTGAAATGAAGCCTGAAGCCTGCATAGACGCTTTTATTGAACAGGTTGCGATAATCTGTCCGTCTTTGCGACATAAGGCATTGATCCCAAGGCGGTCGTCCTGCGGCATGACAGGCAACATGCGACTGAACAGGGGAAGAACCAGTATCCAGTCCCGCTTTGCTCCATTGGTCATTACACGTGCCTCTGAGACAGTCTTTTTTGTCGAGACAGACTCCATCATGTCGTATCTCCTCCAGGACAGCCCAAAGCTTGCAGGATTTTTTACAGCTCATCGTGATTCACCGTGTCAAAGGCTTTCGCTAAATCCACGGATGAAGTGTAGAGGTGGTTCTGCACTTTCTGGTTCATGCATACAGACATTTTTGAATCTCACTAAAATTTCCGATGCCCATCATCCTACTACTTATTATATTATACATCCGAAAACATGTCAGTCACGCGTTTGCGATCAGCAGAAAACTTCCGAATTGGGATGTCCCCTTGGTTCGGGCGCTTTAGGGTTATTTACAGTTTAGCTATATTCTCAAATACCACTAACAGGCTTAATTTATTATCTATCCGCCCACGTTTTCATAACAAATTAACAAGATTGCGAAAATTTTGTAATCCGGCGCTCGTGAAATTCGCTGGGTCTGACGCAGAGAAATCCTCAATCCTTATTCGAAAAGGTAAAAATCACGTTAGGTTATAGTTTTTGTCTTACTTCTTTGAGACCATCCATTATTTGTTTTACATTCGCGTATAAACACCATTTTTAATCTCAAGTAATAGAGAACTTGAAACCTCGTCTACCCTGTTGCCGGGGAGGTCAAGCAGTGCCAATAATAAGTCGAATACAACCATTTACTACATTTTATGGTCTTTAATCAAAATCAGGCTTTGGAACGTTTTCATGTACAAAGGAATCCTGAGCTATTGCTTCTTTCCTGCTTCCAACCCTTTTAACCACTTCTTCCATTTTTTGACGGGGATCAGCGTATAGTATGGTATTAAGAAACTCGTCGTTGAAGATTGACCTAAGTGCGACTTTCATCAGATTTCTGTCGCTTGTGAGGAAATCCCAAAACTGCTTTTGCTATTCCTTTCGTTCGTTCGATTTAGCCACATGTCCTTTGGCCTTCACAATGCTGTCCAGACGTTTCAGAGGCTCACCAACTGCGTCTTGCGTGGCTTTTCGCCGGCGCATTTGCATCAATGACCTTCTCCTGGTTAGTCAGAGTGCTAAAGAACACACGTGACATCATGCCGCGGTGTTTGACCGCCTCGGCAAGAACGATGTCATCACCAACCCTTCCAAGGGCGTTCTCGGAGTTTCTATGCTTGCATTTCTTAAACATAATGCCGAATTTGAAGGCTTGCGTCCTCTGTTTTTCAAAGAGTAAAGGTATTTCTGATTTTCTTACACCAACCCCTAAGCGCCATTAACAATTTTTCTGCCGGAAATTCGACTCATACCGACGGTCCCACCGGTCTGAACTGACCATATGTTGCCTCTCATGAACATGCTTTCTGATCCCAAAGAATGATGCACGGACTGCTCTCGAGAGACTCGGGTTTGCTCTGCATTCCGATCCGTCGGCTCAGCTATCCCTGATAGTGATTTTTTAACCACAGACGCACAGTAAGAGACCGATCTCATCAAATGCTTGCCGAAATTCGGAAATGCGTTTTTGATTAGGAAGGATTACGTCGATGGGGCTTTATCAACAGTTAGTATGCAGCATAGCCCTATAGTATTGCGGACTCATAAGGATGTCGACTTTTGAATGCATGTCTTTTTACCTCCTACAGAAACCACAGTCGGTAACAAATGTCCACTTATGTGGTTATCGCTCTACCTATTGATCTTTTGTGGTCTTATAAAGTTAAATATATTCTATAGAAAACATGCACAAAAACCACATTATTGTTTAATTTTGCATCCTAACAAAGGTTTTCTTTCGGTTTAACAAATTCTTCAAACCATGCGTAAGACTGCGCGATATCCACGCACACAGAACCTCAAATATCCGTTTACCAATGCTCCTAATGAAATGTACATCAAGGATCGGATCCATTGTGAAATTTTATAAATTCTATGCTGTTTCTTCTTAAAGTTACAGAGGAACATAAGATTTTCCGTAAGCAGAAGGCATGCACCTTGTAGAGTAAATACGCAAAACGCTACTGAAATAATAAATAAGGCTTAAATTGATTCGGAAAACTTTTTACAACCTAAATCTACACCGTCTTCGGGTATGAAATATAAAGAGAATGCGATTTCTACCAATGCAGTAGAAGAAAGCATACCTTTGGGCATGTTTTCCATAGAATATATTTAAATTTGTAAGAACGTCAAAAACATTAGAAAAAATACATGCTAATTAGGTAGAAATTTTCTGCCGAATTTAGATTCTGCTGGAGGGCAAAAAGACATGCATTCAATATAGCAAACCCACCTAAGTAATCCTTCCTAACTTGGAACCGAAATTCCATAATTTCGGCCAACATTGCATAAGATCGGTTACCCATTGTAGGCGCAGTCATTCAAAAAGCCTCTGTGATTCCACTTGAGCACTGATCTTTTTCAAACAGCTCCTGCCGGCAAAGACTTGCTGCGATTAAGGGCTAACTCGATAGTCCTAATGATTGACATCCCAAAGACACCAACATCAGAAGTCGATGAAAGCAAATTGGTCTGAAAAGTCTTTATTGGTGAGAAGTAGCGAAAAAGAAGCTCAGTTAGCACCTATCGCAGTCTGCCTATTCGCGCATATTGTTCTTAGTCGGTGTCCGCCGTTGAGATTATTAGACAAAGGCTTGTGCCCATTTTCTGTGTCAAAGAAAGTGACCTCCTGCAGGAAATCAACAAAGGAGCAGCGTCAATTGGACCCGAGCTCTCGCGAAATGAATGCCAAATCCTGTACGGTCCCAACAGCGAGATCTACAGACAGATAAAAGGACAAGCGGGACAGAATGACGGCGTTTAAGGCGAAGGGCAGTGAAAGTGTCCGACTTAACACCAACCGCCGATGGTAGATCATTACACCGCCGACCTATGCAATCATTCCTTAGGCGCACATTGCTGAAGGGAATCTCAAGGAGAGAAGACATCCTCCCTTCACAGACCTTCGTCCAGCAAAGAAACACTTATTGAAGAGTGAACAACAAAAACATAACGAGGAACAACGATGGGGTAGAATGGACGACGCCTACAAGTAAAGAGATGAGATGTGCCTGTTAGTCTATAATCCTGTCTGCGTATACTCGGATAATTATATTAAGCCTGGAGAAATCGCAAAGGTAAAACATTGCATTGCAGTGAGCAGTAGTTTAAATGATATCACGAGGTGCATAAAGGGATTTAATGTCAGCACTTACCAATCAACAGGAAAAAAATAACAATGGGGACGCAATTAATCCAGGGAGTTGAAATCATCTCACAAATGATTTGAATAAATGCACGCATGAGGAGAATTTTCAGGCATAGACCTCGCACCGTTTGCAGCGTCATAATTACTGACTGAGGTGAATTCGAATGGCTGAGGGTTATCGATCTTCTGCAAGTCGCGGTTCAAGTGCCAAGATGGCAGCGTGGCGGTCGAACGTGTGAACGTGCATGCACGAGGCTAAGTTGGGTTGTTGAGGAAACTTCTGTCCCTAAGGAGACCTTTACTTTGTCAACACTCATCACTTTGTTGACACTGTGTGCTTTGTTTTCTTACATTGAAACCAAAGACAGATAAGCGAAGGCTTGGCAATGTGTCAGGCTGAAGGTGTGTTTAATGGGAAAGACTGCTGTAGACTTGGAACAGTTGGTAAATTTTTTATTAAACCGTAACTGGTTGACCTATCGAATTCCCGATTGGACTTTGAAAAACACACTGCTGAATAGGACGACTAACAGCTGCGCGACATTGAAGAATGAAAGAGAGTAGAAAGGATAGAGGGATAGATGCATGCTTTATTTTAAAAACACCTCTTCTGATCAGGATATCGATCAAGGAATAAGGTGGATCAGCCACTGTGCCCACAAACGTTTTGGTCGGTTCGTTCAGCAGAAAGGACTTGCTCTAAGAGATACACACTGGCTCAAAATGATTTTTGATAGGCGGACGAAAGAGGGTAAGGGTGAATGTAGGGAAACAGATCATATAAGGATGGAATTTGGGGCTTGAGTATGCCACGGCCGTGATATCAAGCCTGTGTTTGCGCGCACCGCGGACATCGCCGTGATCGTACACTGAACTGCCAACTCGTGCTTCATCAAAACGGTGACGGTGACACGCTGATATTAGATGCTATCAATGCTTGTGTGAAGACTGGACAGCCCAGCTACAGCCTGTGGACTGCTAAATGTGAACGGTGATGACTGATGATGATCTTGGTGGTGGTGTTGGTGGTGGTGGTAGTGGTGTTGGTGATGGTGATGGTGGTGGTGGTGGTGGTGGTGGTGGTGGTGGTGGTGGTGGTGGTGGTGGTGGTAGTGATGACGATGAAAAAGAAGATGATTGTTATGTTGGTTGTTTTGACGTTGGTTTGTGGGATGTGGTGTTGGTGGTGTTGGTAATTGTAGTTATAGCAATTATAATGGTGGTACTTTTGGTGTGCCGACGTGCTTTGAGACCTCTGCAGCGATCGCGTCATTAACGGACGCTTGTCTGCTGGAGAGCTGCCGCACGTTCCTGATGAATTCGTTGAAATGTATTAATAGTCAAGGGCAAAGTTGGTCTCTACTTGCAGCAGACGGACGCCATCCGCGTCGAATATGTTGGTCGAACGGTTGAGGATGTCTCAGAATAGCGCAATGCATCCCTGAATTATTTGTGCCTTCTCGGTGTAGAGGGTACTGATGTCGAGGCTGAGGCGAGGTGCAGTACCTCTGGCTGGTGGACCATAAACAGCATTGATCATGGACAAGAAGTTCTTCCCTTCGTTGCCGTCCGCGCATCCTTGGACCTCCTAAGCCTTGTGAGCTGTTCACTCATCCAGCATTTCGCACGGCCGCTGGTATAGAAGGCAGAGACTGCGGTTGAAAGCAGCTCTATTGTCATCGGTGGGGCGGTCGACGTAGGCTTTTATGTTGGTACTTATTCGCGGCAAGCAGGTTGCTGATGGCGGCGTTGTTGCAATCCGACCGGGGACAGCCAGCGCCGTCGACTGGACCGTGTCCCGCATTCGTTACCATCGGTTCCCTACGCAGGAGCTCTTGTCAGCGGCGGCTGCGTTGGCATAGTAGCGGCTAAGCGTGAATGGTGTACGCTCAGTACGCCTCAACTTCAGGCCATATTCCAAGTTGTTGGAAGCAGGAGGCCATTTGGTTAGGACACTTTATCCTGTACAGAATAGTGAAGAGGAATGATGGCAAACGGACGAGTATGTGTCTGACGCCGCGGAGGTGGCGTCCGCGAGAGCGACGAGCTCTGTGTCGCCGAAGGTCGCCACCGCAAAGTGTCGTGGCAGATTGCTTACTCTATTATTCCTGACTGTTCCCGTCTGTCTTACCAATCAGCGATAAAAGTTGCGTTGATTGGCTCCGAGCCCACGCGAATGTAGTGACAAGACTCGCGTGGTGCAGGCAGAGAATCGACTGTTTGTGCAGCGCAAGACATAAACAACAACTATCTCTCTCACTCTCTTCGTCTTCCTGCCTCATCCAAAAACAGAAAGTGATAGAGAAGCAGCGGACTTCAAGGATATCAATATCATGCATCTGTACAATCGGAAAGGAAACCGTCAACGCTGCGACAACGATCGAGGCATCTTTTTGCTGAAAATCGCAGGGAAAATCTTTGATCGCGTCCTTCTGAACAAAACTCTAAATGAAGACCTCTTGCCGAAAATCCAGTGCGGACTCCATGGTCATCTTAGGATCACGCATATGATTCGTGGGCCTTGCAATGTGACTTCGCACACACTGGCAGCCTGGAATGTTTGCTGCCTTTGAGACAATCGGAGGAACAACCGACCGGAACGATTAGAGCGGCGGAGAGATGGAGGAGAAAGAGGAGAATGCAGACAGTTATTTCTTCTTTGGTTCTTCGGGAGGTAAGTTTTGCGTATTCGGCCACGGCCAGCCTGCATACCGTAGGTATGCGGCGTATTTGACTGGATAAACTATGCTACACCTTTCCTCTGGAGACAACGTACCCAACACCATCACCATTTGCGCCATCCCGACCGACAATGCCACTATCACCGTTATCAGTATCAAACACATAATTCATCATCAATCAGCTTAGCCATCCAATTTTGGCGTTGACATGTTGCAGTCTGTAGGCAGTGGCTGGGCTGAGCAATATTCAGACAGTCATTGTTGGCATCGAATATCAGCGGGTAACCGTCACCATCAGGCCCCTACTTCCTCCATTTTATGATCTGCCTCCATACTTTCACCGTTTTCACTCCATCGTTTGCTTCAAAGTTCATCACATTGTCCTTTTCCTCCGAGGACTAATGATAAATCTTTTTGAGCCATTGGGTATCCCTAAGGGGAAGGCTTTTATGCTGAATGATCCGACCAACACCTTTATAGATCAAATGGCTGACACGGATTTGCCTTTAACTATATAGTGTTCCGAAACGATTTTTTAAAAATAACTCAGGTTCCTCGCCCCCGGTACCCTTTCCAGTAGTTTACATTTCTATTACCGCGCAGCCGTTAGGCGCCCTATTCAGCAGTATGGTTTTCAAAGGCCAATCGGGAATTTAATAAGTCAAACTATACAGGGTAATTTTTTGTGTGTGTAAAATAATTACAAGTGTCTCCTATACTATCTTAATTATCGTTCCACGTCTACAGCAGTCTTTCCCATTAAACACGCCTACAACATGAGGCATCGCCAAGCCATCGCTTATCTGTCTTTCGTCGCAATGTAAGAAAACGCAGCACACAGTGTCAACCACGTGATGAGTGTTGAGAAAGTAAAGGTCTCCTTAGGGACAGAAGCTTCCTCAAGAACCCAACTTAGCCTCGCGCATGCACGTGCACACGTTCGACCGCCACCCTGCCATCTTGGCACTTGAACCGCGACTTGCAGAAGATCGATAACCCTCAGCCATTCGAATTCACCTCAGTCAGTAATTATGACGCTGCAAACGGTGCGAGGTCTATGCCTGAAAATTCTCCTCATGCGTGCATTTATTCAAATCATTTGTGAGATGGTTTCAACTCTCTGGATTTTTTTGCGTCCCGAATGTTGTTTTTTACCTGTTGATTGGTAAGTGCTCACATTAAATCCCTTCATGCACCTCGTGATATCATTTAAATTCATGCTTACTACAATGTAATGTTTTACCTTTGCGATTGCTCCAGGCTTAATATAATTATCCGAGTATACGCAGACAGGATTATAGACTAACGGACACATCTCATCTCTTTACTTGTAGGCATCGTCCTTTCTACCCCATCGTTGTTCCTCGTTATGTTTTCGTTGTTCAATCTGCAAGAAGTGTTTCTTTGCTGGAGGAAGGTCTGTGAAGGGAAGATGTCTTCTCTCCTTGAGAATCCCTTCAGCAATGTGCGCCTAACGAATTATTGTATATGTCGGCTGTATAATGATCTACCATCGGCGGTTGCTGTTAAGTCGGCAGCATTCCGGAATGCGGGATTTGGCGGAGCGGAGCAGCAGCAGAAGGAGTAGGAGGAGAATTGCGAGGAGGAGGAGGAGGAGGAAGCAGCTGAATTTCGGGGAGGAATAGTGAGTGGCTTGGTAGGACAGGATAAGACGTATCAGTCAACTCACAATAAGTCATTTCCTACAGTGCGTGACCTGTCTGATGAAATTTTGTCTAAAATTCTGAAATGCGTTTTCGATTAGGAAGGATTACTTTTCGCGGTTGTAAAACTGATTATCTTAAGGCATACTCTTATATGATTTTGGACTTGCAGGATGGCGGCTTTTAAATGCACTTCTTTTTAGCTCCTGTAGAAAGCGTGCTCGGTAAAAATGACTACTTAATTAGCACGCATTTTTCCCTTTGATTTTTAATGGTCTTGGAAATTCAAATATATGTTATAGAAACCACAAACAAAAATATGCTTTCTTTTAGTCAATCAATAGAGCATCACGCCTTCTTTATATTTTACACTTAAGAAGAGAACATGATAAGGTTTTAAAAAATTTTTCAAATTGCCAAAAAATTTGGAGGCTGATCATTCGTTGCATTAGTGCTTAGTGCTTACACTCTACAAGGTGCATGCGTTCCGCGAAAAAAACCCATTTTTCTCTATGTCATTAAAGAGATATTACACAGTGTCCATAAAATTTTGCAGTGGATGCGGACCATGTTGTACATATTATGAGGAGCAGTGGTAAGCGGCCAGTTACGATGCTATGTGAATGGACATATCGCGGTCTTAAAAAGTCTCATAATTACAAACTTTTTAAAACCTTATTATACTCCTTCGTTAAGTATAAAATACGTTATTTCCTATTGATTGACTAAAAGAAAGCATAATTTGTTTGTGGTTTATATAAATTATATTCGAATTTCCAAGACCATCGAAAATTAATAAAAAATGCATGCTAATTAAGTAGTCATTTTTACCGAGCACGCTATCTACAGGAAATTATAAAGAAGTGCATTTTAAAGAAGACATTCTGCCAAGTGCAAAAGGTTATAAGGGTATGCCTTAAGATAATCATTATTACAACCGCGACCAAGTAATCCTCCCTAGTCGAAAACGCATTTCAGAATTTCAGCCAACATTTCATGAGAGATGTCACTCACTGTACTTGCACTGCCCATTCCAACCGTTGCACAGCCGTTACCTACTACTTAAAAACGCCTTCTTTACTTTGCAATAGATAACACCATGCAGTACCCTTAGCCGCAGTTAAGAGAGCTCATGTTTGTTCCAGAGCTCGAGAGAATCGAGGAGGTTTCGGAGAAGGGTAAGCAGGAGGAGAAGGAGGAGGATGAGAAGGATTTAGAGAAGGAGGAGGACGCCTGCACTAATGACAATAACGGCGTAAAACCGGAAGTGAAGGAGGGGGGCCAACAGCAGCAGCAGCAAATGATGTGAATAAATGCACCTATGACCAGAATTTCCAGGCATAGACCGCGCACCGTTTGCAGCGTCATAATGACTGTCTGAGGGGAATTCGAATGGCTGAGGGTTATCGATCTTGTGCAAGTCGGCTTTCAAGTGTCAAGATGGCAGCGTGGCGGTCAAACGTGTGCACATGCATGCACGAGGCGAAGTTGAGTTGTTTAGGAAACTTCTGACCCAAAGTTAGTGGTGGTTTTTGTCGTGGTGGTGGTGGTGGTGGTGGTGGTGGTTTTTGTCGTGGCGGTGATGGTGATGGTGGTGGTGGTGTTGGTGGTGGGTTTGGTGATGGTGGTTGTGGTGATGGTGTTGGTGGTGGTGGTGATTGTGGTGGTGGTGGTGCTGGTGTTTGTGGTGGTGGTGGTGTTTGTGTTGGGGGTGGCTGTCGTGGTGTTTGTGGTGTTGTTTGGGGTCGTGGTGTTGGTGGTAGTGTTGCTGATGGTGGTTTTGGAAATTGTGTTGGTGGTCCTTTGGGGGTTGTTGTTACTGTATATGCTAAGGCAAAGCTCAGGTGCAAGTTATTATATTATTTTTAAGTTTGTTCCAGAGCTCGAGGGAATCGAGGAGGTTTTGGAGGAGGATGAGCAGGAGAAGGATGATTGCGGGAAGGATGAGGCGGAGAAGGATGAGGATGAGGACGCCAGCATAAATGAAAATCACGGCGTAGAACTGGAAGTGATGGAGGGGGCCAGCAGAAGCAGCAGTATATTGTGCACGCTGGTGGAGACGCGGACTCTTGTGTTGTCGTCTCAGAAGTGACTATTGCAAACTTCCAGGCGTGTGCAGTAGTGGCAGACAGAGACAGAGAAATGATTCAAATGAGAATGCCCGTGTCATCTGCCGGCAGGCGGCGTCCTCAACGATGGAACTCCGTTGACATGTCGTCGCGTATGTCGACAACTACTTTACTGTCATTTAAGTTCTTCAGCCCTTCATCTCCCTTATGACATACCCAGCACCCTTTTCCTTTACTATTCTCATGTTAGATGCCTATACCTTGCTCGACCGCCGAAAACGAAAGCCCATCCACCGCGATTGGGTTGCCTATGGCGGAAATTCGTTTGCTGCGGCCATTTGCCAGCCGGCGAATAGAAGATGTCCGTATTATCCCTGCACGCAGTTGATTTTTGTCTGTTAATCTATGATTTTTGTACATGTTTCTGATTGCTATATTTATCCAATAAAATATGTTTCTGCATTTCATCAGTTCTTTCCTTAAAATATATGGTTCGTGCAGTTTAAATGTAGGGAGAGGAAAGAATGTGAGGTCGTGAATGTCTGGCAGGTCTATTTCCATATAGTTTTTCGGGAAATAGGCAGCAATAGCTAGATAACTTGGAGCGATCGTTTTTGTGTGTGTTGCGTAACACAATCTCTATCATGTGAAAAGCATTGCGACTGCATTGCAATGCAGGACGCAATTCTAGGTGAATTCTGGTTTTATTCCTTCTCGGCTATTTGGTGGGCCATAAACGCATTAAATCTCAGGACAACTACACCAGGCATCTCGTGCCCATTCCACCCTACTGACACCGTGCGTTCTGCATCATGTCATATAGATGAGAGAGGAGAGTTGTGTGCTGCTTGAAGTTTTGCGACTGAATGATCGTCGTTGAGCTGGGAGCCAGCCAGCCCGATATTTTGCCAGTTGGCTGACGATGCACATGCCGCGTGAGATATGGTCCTTCTTTCCCAGTTCATCGTCGAATAGCGGCTCGAATTGAGGGCTTTGGCGTGTTAAGACACATATTGTTATTCTCTGCGCAAAGGCGGTTGGCTCATGCGGAAGTGAGCATAATACGCGTGAGCTGCATGATACGTCATGACTCTGCAGTCAACTGACCACCCACTGATATTGAGGCAATTTTCTGTCACACCCTCCTGTGTAACAACATTGGCATATTAGTGAAGAATTGGAGACCGTGTACGGGCATATATGTAGTCGTGGCTGTGCTGGTTGAGGGCGCAGCGATTTAAAGTTTGCATAGAAGATTTTCAGCAAATCTTTTCTGATGTCTTCAATTATAGAACCTACCAGCCCTACGTTTGTCAGTTGACTGACGATACACATGTTGCGTGAGGTATGGTGCTTCTTTTTCAGTGTACCGTAAAATACCGGCACGAATTAAAGGGTTTGGCGAAATGGTTAATACAAATTTTGTAAGGCCCTGCACAAAGTCCGTTGTTTCATATGAAGGAGAGCATTCTCTGCGTGATTTGCATAATACGTGATGACTCTGCAGTCAAATGACCTCATACTGAAATTTAGGCAATTTTCTTTCACACCCCCCTGTGTAACAACATTGGCATATTAGTGAAGAAGGGGATACCGAGTACGAGAGAGAGAGAGGAATTCGCTATAGCTTAAATCGTAAGTTCAATATTTTCAGCAAAATATTGTCTCCGCTCACTGTAGGCAGTAAATAAGGTTAAGATATTATTCAAGTGTCAAGGGTAACACAAAGTAACGATTATTATTATGAACGTTCAATTTTTGGCTTCTGTATTTCGGTCTTTTCGCACGTAAAATTGCGCGCTAGGAATTGCAATACAGAAGCTCGATAAGCCGATGAGCGACAGGATATACGTCGGAGCTGCGGCGCACCGGGCGTGTAGACTTCGAAGACGTAAGATCCGAATGTAACGGATGATCAACGTCATCTAGAATTCGATCAGCAAATTGCTTGACCGCATTGAAGTGCCGTTGTAAGATAGTGTGAACTAAACAAAGGTAAGAAAGATAAGAGCATGCGGTAAAATCGTTTCAAAATTAAAAGATCCTCTTAAGCAAGGCAGGAAAAATGGCAAGAGAGCAGTAAATGATAAAAGGAAGAATGCAGGCAACAATGAATCGCCAAACTAACGGTTGAAGTGTGTGGTACGGGCATATATGTAGTCTTGGCTGTGCTGATGTAGGGCGCGGCGAGTTAAAATTTGCATGAAGGATTTTTGAAAAAAATTATTCTGATGCGATACGAAATATGCAGGCGATTGGGTGATTGGACTTGTATGATCAGATGCGTAACCTTTAGATCTGGATGCTAGGGGGCGCTCGGCGATAAATCATACAGATCTCACTCGTTGCGTTTCGCCTTAGAGGCTCTCTCTCTCGAGCCCAACCAGTAACCGCTGAGAGACGCATGATAAAGGCAAATTGGCAGTACCGACAAATACAAGGGAGGCTGAAATGGTAAGTCCTGGCTTAGTAGTCGTCATCAGCCTGTCATACTCAATCCCGGAGTGCCGCCCCCCCAATGCTCCATCTCGCGACCTTTTAGTTAAAAATCCACGCCTCTAACCACTGCGCCACGAGTTAGATCTTGTATATGAATTTTATTTCAGGAAATCAGCACTGCAATCAGGGGGCTGTAGTTTGTTTACACTATCAGATGCGTTTGCGTGTGAAGCAGCGGTTTGCAAGAAAATAGGAGATCCCTCTATATGCTAGACAGCGGAACAACAAAATAAACATAACTACCTAAGCAAAATAAACGAATCGGATACGTGTAACATTTAAAGGAATCTGGTACAGTGCATTCGCTGAAAGACTTTATTTATTAAAACATTTCTGATTGATTGAAGTAATATGTGCGCAAATTGAGTTTTGTTCCATACATAAATAAAACGTCTGAGAAAAGAGGCATTGATTTGTCTTTTAATGCACTAGTCACTGATTTACCCGGTAATAGGCACTTAAGGGTAAGCTTCTGTTCCTATAACATTGGGATCGGCGAATGATATACTACTTGCCTCTTTAATTCGCATTTTTAGCAATTTATAACCAAAGAGATTGCCATGAATCTATCGGAAACCATTGAATAATGAGCGCTCAGAACGCAGGCGGTAAGGTGGCCTCCATATCTGAAAGTCAACAAATCCTTCGAGAATGGTAAGATATCAACTTGATTACCAATTTTTTTCATAGTTGATCTAATTGTGCAAAAAATTGTGACTGTTTCTTAAATTTCTGCCTTGCTTAAAGCGCGCGACTAATAAATAACGTAACGTTTTATTTAAATTCGCCTTTTTTCTTAATTGTTGTAAAAATGCTATTCGCTTACATAGATGCCTTCATTTATCTACCACTGTTGACGATTGATCAACGATGAATAAAGACTTTCGACACCTTGCATTGGCAAGGTAGCACACTGTGGTTTGACAAAAAATCGTTTAAAATACATAAAGTAATCTAATACGATAAAATTGACGTGTAACTACAGGCTTGAAGTGATAAGGGCACATTTTGAGTATATTTTGTGCGCTCTATTCTAAGTACTCCGTACTGTCTTCTGTCTGGTGAGATGGAGTTGGCGAAGACCATGAAGACAATGTGAGTTTTTGAGTTAAGGACAATTCTGGTTTTCCTTATGCTTTTGACTTTAATAACTAGCCTAAGGGAGCAAAAATGTAAGATATTATCCTACTCCACGAGCGCCTTAAACGCAGTTATCGGCTCAGGTGTAAGGTTGACATACTTAGCCGGTTAGAGCATTTTTCCCTTAACTATGACCACTTAGCCATGTAAGTAGCGAAAAATATCTCAATGGATAAAGGAAAGAACAATTAAAGTGATTTTCTAGTTTGCACAAACATCACTGTTGCCCAGAAGAATTGTCATTAATTGGTATTTGTCCGTCGCGGACTGTATTTTGCCTGGATGTTTGTCATGCCCCGAAGGTGAATTAATTTTAACTAAAGTTAATTAAGCAAATCAGTTTCTTCGCCTCTGAATACGGATTTATGATGTTGTGACGAACAAGTAAAATATTACATAAGTATTGACGTGCTGCCCCGCTTATGGAACTCTCTGGTATGGTACAATCCACAGTTTACTGGCAGTTGAGTGTCTTTCCTATCTTTAACGTTGCCGTGGGCAGTTCCAGCACATCTGCGGGGTGTTTTGATAAAGGAGCTAATTTGCTTTGTTGCATGCGGTCATTTGTGAACTAATCAAATATACGTATTGCAGTTTATTAATAAAACGATTGGAGAGTTTGCGACTCATTCCGGTTCTCTGTCTTGCGCAGCTATTTAAGGAGTTAGAAGACATAACCTTCAATGGCGAAAAGGTAACCAGGTTGGTTTCAATGGCGACAGTTATGCACGTACCTCCTCCTTAACGGGAGGCGGTCTGAGAGTCAGGCTGCAATGGCTCCTTTTTAATGTGGCCTTTATGGCATTCCCACCACAGTGTGGGATCCGAGCCAGGCGTTGGCGGCACGCCTAGGTGCGGCTTCGGTCGTGCCAGCCTCCAAATCTCTGTTGTGTTGGTTGAAATCCTGGTTATTGTTGTGTGGACCAGGGGGTGTGGTGGAACGCCAAGGTGAGGATCCGTCCGAGCCATCCACCTGCGGCCTCCCCCGTCTCCGGTCTTCTTGACTCTGTCTTGACACCGGGCTCAGGCGGGGGAGGAGGACAGAGTGTAGGTAGATGCTACGCAAGTCTACTGGCACTATAAACCCCTGCGTAAGTCACCGTCCCTGCTCCCACAATGCAGTCTGTGGGGCACACGGTGGTCATCGTCGAAATCGACGGACGAACTGTCGTTAACAGAATATCCATGCAGACCTTGGTTGGCGAGCGCATGGGACTTTACAGGGGATACATTTCCGACCAACTGCTTGCCAGTGTAATTACTCCTTGCCATTGGTGTAGTCTAACCTATATTACTTATCGCATACAACCATAAAATCAAAGATAAAATACTCGCAACGTTTTCTAACACATTAGAATTCAAGATGGCGCGTGCTGCAAATTTC